GAGTTCCAACTATGGTGCCTCCATAGTTGGAACTCTCTCATCCACTTTGTCAACAACTGAGACCACAAGTGCAAACGCACACGGCTTTATACATCCGGGTTTTTTTGTGCGCTGCACTTTTCTAAATTTGTCCGTACGCCAAGTTTTAGTGTGAAAATTGCACACTCTTTTATACATGAGGCCTCAGGTGTTGTGTAGCCATTGCTAACACTGACATTGCACTTTAAACATCATCAACAACAAGAAAGGCTCAATTTGCCTGCTGTTTCATTCTCGTGATGAAATAACAAAACATTGTGGCAAGAGTAGTTAACTTGTAGACAAAGTTAGCAATAAGATATTGGACATGTGACTATTCCAGAATTAAGACAATTTAACCAAAAACATTTGGTTCCTATATATGAAAGTTATAAACAAGTAATATTCATGGCAACATTCCTGACAGACCGGTTTACTTCTTTCAAAAAGAGTTCCTGACTCTGCTGCTCCTTCCTTCCTGTGGGGAGGAAGGAGCGCTCCTTCAAAATAAAAGCACACTTTGCTTCCTTCTGGGAGAGCATGTTAGACAGTCGAGGGGATCCTCAAAGTGTTATCTATATGGCCCAACAATGTTCAGTCTGGATGTGTTGAACCCCATCCAATCCACAACTTGTGTTGAACCCTTTCCTTTACGGAGTCATTGAAAAAATAGCAAGAAATTATAGAAGGATTGATAAAATCTGATAAATTTAGCATTTTGTCAGTGTCTAAAACTTACCCAATCTGCCATACAGGTGCACAAGGTGTTCCCCTGCGGACTGGCAGCTCAAGAGGGAACCATTCAAAAAGGAGATGTGGTTTTGTCCATTAATGGTGTAACATTGTGTGGTGTCAAACACATGGATGCCACTGCTATTTTGCGTCAGGCTCGTAATCAAACTTTGGCTGTGGTAGTCATCTGCAAGAGAACTAACGAAGAGGAGAAGGATGGAGGAAACAGGATGGGAGAGGAAGGTGAGTCTCACTAAACTGTTCTTTATTTCTGGGATTTAACTAACTTTTTTTTCCAAATGTGTTTAAATGTTACTTTGTCACAGTAATGGAACAAGAAGTCCCACTGAGTGTTGATGTGGAAAAAGGTACTGGTGGAATTGGCTTTTCTCTGGAAGGAGGAAGAGGATCAATTCAGGGAGACAAACCCTTAGTCATCAACAGGATATTCAAAGGTATGCTCATTATTCTGACAGAAAGTGATTATTTTGTTGTAATCGAAATAAACACTTTATTCACAAATGATCTTTTATTTTTATAGTAGGAACCACTTGCTCCCATGTTGATTAAAACTGAGAAACTTGAAGGGAAACATCTGTGTATTTTCAGGTGGAGCAGGAGAGCAAAGCGGTCTGCAATGTGGAGATGAACTTCTGCAGGTTCAAGGAGTGAGTCTACAGGACATGACCAGATTTGAGGCATGGAAGATGATCAAGGCTTTGCCTGAAGGGCCTGTTACACTTGTAATCAGGAGAAGGCAGGTGGCAGAGGACTAAAAGTCATAAAGCACCTTGGAAAAAATATCCACACCTACTGAGCATTTATGTAACATATTGATCAACATTAAACATAGAGCTGTCAAGTTAAAGGAAATTGATAAATTGTTTTCAAAATGTTTTCCAAATATAAAGGACTGTCAGCTTCTTTACATTTCCACAAGAACATTGTGGTTTTGGATTTCAACATAAAAACCAGAACCAATTAGTTACAGAAATTCCTGTAATTAATAAAGAAGGTTCTACTGTGTTTAATTTACTATCAGTATAAATCCAGGTGTTCTGTTTTGTTTTTATGTAACATAACACCAAGTTTACAATAAATGTAATCTTAGCATTTACAGGAAAAGCACATATACATACAGACTGGTTCAATGGAATGGGCAGAACCTCCGGGCTTAGATTAAAGCAGATTTATCTCTTAGAAAGGAGCAGTGACCAGACTTTAATCTGAGAATATGTAGAAAGACTTTTAGATTGATGTTTACAGCCACTCTCCATTCAATCATTGCCATGCTTGAGCTGTTCTTCAAATAATAACCATCAAAATCTTTCCCAGAAATTCCACATTAAATACACTAAAGTTTGAGATTGTAACATGTCAGTTGGGAGAAAAGTTAAAGGAGCTTGAATATTTTTGTGTAGGAAGATGGTGACAAATTAATATGACAAAAAAGAAAACAGCAAAATTGCTTCCAAGTCTGTAAAATGTATCCATTAATTGTTTGAATAATATCTTACTTTTATTTTAAAAGAATACAAGAGCAAAATAGCTAATAAATACATGTTAATTAAATCACCAACAGATCTTTTAAATTAAATTCCTCTTTCAGAATAAAAACACTGAACAAATACAAGGAGTCCTTTCTTAAAATCAACACTCCAGTCCAGTCAGATCTCTGATCCTGGACACAAATGGAACATTAGGGTTGTTGTATTTATTAGTTTGGTTTAAATGATAGATCTGCTTTATAATACAACATACAGTAACATATGGTTTCATATATGCAGTATGGATTACTGTAGGGACTTACACTTATCTCAAGGGAAATATACTGAGTTCTGGATATAGGTTGGTTCTATTTCTGCAACTGGGCACAAAAAAATCAGCTTAGTATCCGTTTTTCAATTTAGTTTTGGAAATAAACCTAAGAAAACCTGTGTTTGTTTTCTTCTTATGGGTCGTTCATATGGAGTTAAATTTGTTTCACAATTTAAAAAAAAAATCACGTCAAATAAAAGAAATAAAATTGTGGTCAAAACTATAGGATTTGCAATAATTTTTGTTTCAAACAAAAAAAACTTCTCAGTAAAAAACAATGAAACTGTGGTCAGAACCTTTTGAATTATAATAATAGTTATTATTTTTTTAAATTAAAATCACTCATTTTTGTTTCATGAATTGAAAAAGTTATTTGTAGGACATAAACTTTTATTTGTGCATATCAGAATTTTTTGATTGACAGCCTAAGTGTTTGATTGCAATTCTCAAAGTTTTGTTTGATGCTCCCTTTTTTTTTTTTTGGTTGAACTCAACAAGTTTTGATTGCTAGAGACGTAAAAATCTAAAGATGAACGATGTAAGATGTGTCCATATTGGTTAGCGTTGACTACAGCGGATGACTCCGACTCCCTGCTACCTCAGAAGTTTGTCCTGAACTGCAGGGTTTGCTGCTCCGCTTCGGTGACTGGACACACAATATGAATGGAAAGTAATCTTCAAAAAATGTCACAGTTAACAGCTACTAAAGCGTCCACTCGTTTTTCAAAGAAGAAATCTTACACAACTTATGACAACAGTCATGTATCTTGTCTGCCGCGATCCCCGTTAGCATATCATGCTAGTCAGGCAAGTGCAGAGGGGGGGGTTGGAGGAGGCTTGAGCCCCTGCCCCTTTTATCCTAGTGCCCTTTTTGATTTTTTTTCTCTGTGTGCTAGGAGGCCTGCTAGTGCTCCTCAACAATAATGTTTAGCTAAAAAAACAATTTATCAAAAATAAACTAGTCTGGCTGCCCTCGGTCTAACAGTGATTGAGAATTTTCATTTTCTCTGCCGCCATGTTAAGTCACTGGGCCCCTGGTGAGGAGGAGGGGGGCGAATCTGTGCCCTCTATCAAATTATGGGCAAGAATATATATTTTTCTACATACACCTGCTTGTGAATAAAAACTTAGGCCTGATGTTGAAGTTAAAAAAAAAAGTTTCTATTTATTTTAATTGTCCTCGTAATAGTGGAAAAACCCTCCTCTCCCCTAAACACAGAAATGCTTCGGCTGCAGAGAAAACTTGTAACTTTAATTTTATCAGGCTGCTCCATTGCTGGACTAAATGCCCGGTTCCCTACAAGCAGCTTGAGTCGGTCCCACCGCGGTGGTCAGAACTTGATATCCTGATATAAAGAAACGGACCGCGTCTGTCACCACGACCCGCCTCAGAGCCCTGGTACCGCCTGCTCACTGTTCAGACTCTGCTTCACCTTAACAAAACTACCAGGCAGTTAGTTCTCACTGCTGCTGACGGGATCTGGGCTGGAGGTGAGCAACTGTGAATAGAAGTTACTGCAGAACCTCAATTGCTAAAGAAAGATCCAGCTCATAGCATATGGAGCTCACAAAATATCACATAAACATCAGCGAAAATACTTTACCAACCATTTGGACCACAGCAACAACCAAACATGCCACGATTAAATAAATCAAGATGTTCCAAAAGCAGGACGGATTGGCTTGGGGGCTACTGGGAGATTCCAGGTAGATTTCAGCACAGAGATGCGGCTCGCTGTTCATGCAGGGCCGGCCCAAGATGATAAGGGGCCTTAGACAGAATCATGATTTAGCCCCCACCAACCACCTCCTACTAAGAACATCAGCATCACTAACAGTGTTTAAATGTAGATGAAGTCTGTGACAATTGGCTGAGTTTTAAATCAATCACTGATTATTGGTTATTATTTGCTGTAATGTATTTGTGAAGAAACCCAGCTCAAACAGAGATTACACCATATTGTAGCCATGGTGTCACAATAATCAAACTATCCAGATGATTCTTTGCACTTTTACAAAGTAAACTTCCTAATTAAATCTTAAATGTACGATTTATTTTTTATTTATTTTGTTTTCTCTGCTGAATGCATTAAATAAAATGTAATAACATTGTCATTCTCTATAAATGAATGCTACAGGTTTAGATGTATGGTCTGTGTTACAATTCAACCATTTATAGAGGCCCCTGAAGGTCTGGGGGGCCCTAACAGCAGCTACTGAGTTTTCTTTGCTTTGATACATCTGTCCTGCAATTCTGAGTTTGAGAAGCTGCTAAAAGCTTCTTGTCATATTTGTTTTAGGAATGGAACGAGAAAAGATTAGTATTTAACTTTTTAAAAAACTAAAGATTTTTAAAAATGCCTTTGTATTTTTTTTTTTTTTATTGTGAAAGTTGCTTTCAAAAGCTTTAAAATGTAACAACTGATCAATATTTTGCAAAGAAACATTTACTGTGGCTCTGTGGGTCTTGTGATCGGAAGGTTGTAGGTTCGATCCCAGCTTCCTCCTGTCGATGTTCCCCTTGGCATCGGTGTATAAAAGTCTGTTTGTGAGTGTAACTGTAATGTAAAGTGCTTTCAGTCATCAAAATGATTGGAAAAGCGCTTTATAAGTTCAGTCTATTTACCATTTCAGAAGTGTAGAACATGCTAATTAGTAATACATATTAATATAAGCTTCCTCTGCGCCCTAAAAAACTCACAGGGTTTTTATAGTCTTATAAGACTATAAAAAAAATCTTCGTGTTTTTTATAGTCAGATCAGCAGTAACACTTTCAATTTCTAATTAAAATAAAAGGGGAAAAAGGCATTATGAATTTTAAATGAGACCGAGAAAACATATGATTAAATATTTCTTCTCCGCCTCTTTTGAGTTCAGGCCAAAGTGTTACACAGTTTCTGCAGCTGTCTGGCCCGTCAGCTCTTATTTTTAAAAACACTAACTTCCGGTCTATTGCTAGGCTAGCGCCGCTGTTGACGCCCAGAGGCAGAGCCACAGCGTCAGGCTTTGAACCAAAAGTGCTTGTGAAGCCATCGAGACGCTGATCTGAACATCCAACAGATGATCTTCGCCAAAGTGAGACAATAACGACTCAGTGTCTTCTTGGAAAGTAAGATCAACGAGGAGGATTATTTGTGTGCTTCGTTTGCTGAAACTTTGTCCGGACCAACAGCCTCTCGGCGGACCACACCCTCCCTGCTTCCTCATAGTAATGCAGCGGGAGCGCGCAGGATTACTTTGGATCTCTGGGAATAACGCCGAACTTCCTTTTCGCATTTTTACGATGTTGTGGTCCTAGAACAGGTCATGTATGGACTGAAATAGGACCGAGTAGCATGGACAGCAGCAAGTCTCTGCAGAGGAAATGTGGGGCTGCACCGGGTCCAGGCTCAAACTGGAAGGAGCGGAGGAGGAGCGCAGAGTAACTGACGGATGATGCCGAAGCATCCGGAGCAGCCGACAGCTTCGAACCCAGGGCTCAGTCTGAGAAGGAAGAGGTTAAAAACGGACTGAAAGAGTTTTTTTGTTGTTGTTGTGCCCTCTTCTCGTTGGAACTGCTAAAACAATGGTGCTGGAGAGCGAGAGCAAAGTCCCCGCTGTCCTGAAGAGCTGCACGGAGGAGGGCGTCCGGATCGGAACCAGCATGAACAGGTCACTCTCTCTGTGGATAAGTCGGACAAGATCGCGGTCCAGTTACAGGCCTCATGGTGGAGCAAAATGCTTGTAACTTAGAAACGCTGCAAAAGACTGTTAGCTAATGTTGAGGTTTGCTTTGTGAGAGTTCTGTAGCCAACCTTCATGAGGAGGAAACATGTGGAACTGCAGCGTCCTGGAGATCGAGAGGAAACGGTGTGATTTTTATTCCTCCTGAACCTGAGACTACACTTCTGATAATAACAGATAGTTTTGTTAGGGGCATTTAATTAGAAACAAGTTTCAAGTTAAGTGTGTAGAATCTACACTGAGAAGTGCTAGAGACCCTGTTCTATTAAAACACTTGTTACTATTATTATCATTATTTTACAATCAACATCCAAGGCACTCAGCTGGGAATAAGCCATATCAAATGAAAAGGTTTGATTCTAAATCACCTTAATATCCACTGCAGTAACTGCGTAGATGTCATTCCACCTGTTTACACTCAGCTCACAGTCCTGAGGAGAAAACTTTATCTACAAATGCTGAGCTGTACATGAAGGAACTTCAAGGAAGACTGTTTGACAAGTTTGTAAAAAAAAAACAAGAAAATAAAAGAGATTTTAACCTGAAAAATGCAGCAGTACAAAGCTTGAAATAAGCGAAGCTTCACCCTCATCATCATGGCCAGCAGCGGCTCTGGCAGATCCACCTGTGAGGGATCAAGCAGCCCACTGAGTGGCAGTGTGCAGCAGAGGAAGCGGCTCTCCTTCATCTGTGATGCATGTAAGGCCAAAGTGCAGATGGTGGCTGACCTGCTGTTGCTGTCCAGTGAGACCCGGCCGGTCATGACCTCTGAAGGTGTTGCACTGGCTGACACCTTTGACCAGTGTCGTGACACAGTCATTGCCAGAACTAAAGAGCTGTCCATTCTCACCCATGACATCCAGTGCCAGCTTAACATGGGTCGCTATACAGAGGTGGGGGACCGCCTCCTGGAGATGGCTGACTTGGTGGTTTCTCTGACTGAGTGCTCAACACATGCCGCCTACCTGGCAGCTGTGGAGAACCCTGGCTCACAGCCCTGTCTGCCGGGTTTAGTTGATCGCTACAAGGTGACACGCTGCCGACATGAGGTGGAACAGAGTTGCAGCATCCTCCGAGTTTCTCCCCTGGCAGATCTCACCCCTCAGGTTCTTCTTGAGCTTTCCCAAAACATCTCCACCAATCTCAAGACTCTGACGGATATCTCATTGCTAGCCAGTGAGAGGTCCAGGGACCGCTTTGCTAAAGAGCAGTTCAAGTTGAGTGTGAAGAGCATAAGCACAAGTGGCACTGCCTTCCTGGCCTGCATTAAAGAAGTTAAAACCCAGCCCAGTGAGCTGACCAGAAATCGATGCATCCTTTTTAGTGCTGCTCTGGTCCAGGCGGTCAGTGCCTTGGTTGGGTTTGCCACAGAGCCTCAGTTCCTGGGAAGAGCTG